TAAACCCTGAACCCTAAAACTTTCTAGCTAAGGATAAATCCCTGACCCCTAGACCCTAAAAGTTTCGTATTAGGGCTTTAGGATTTCGGGCCTGGGGCTTAGGACTCAGGGCTAAGGATTGTAGAGGAGTAATCTTCACTCTGGGGCTGCTGGTAGCTTGTGTTTAGGGTTCATCAGATTACTATTACTATTTGTATTTCTTGTTCCTAATGTGATTCTCGTTTAATGCCTATTCTTACTAACTTTATTATGCATGTTATCACAGCGTGTTTCTGCCTTCCGGCCTTGCCTGTTACAGCATGCAGGGTTTAGGTCTTAGGGTTTAGGTTTAGGTTTGGGGTTGAGGGTTATTTTTTGCTTTAGGAGTTTGGGTTTAATGGGTTTGCAGGCCATGGAGGACTGGGTTATATAAGCCCACTCGGTCATGCCTGAAACCCCTTCCTTGCAAACCACTAGTGGTCTCGGGGCCTGTGGGCTTAGGATTTATTTTGGAAGTTTTAGGGCTTCAGGGTTTGCGGGTTTCAGGTTTTAGGGTCCCCGAATTTGCAGCTACAATGTTCAAAGGGGACCGTGCTCTCAAGACTTGAGGAATCCAAGTCTCTGTGGGCTATGAGGAGCACATCCCCAAAGCCATGCTCAATCAGCAAACTCCGAGCTGCAGCAAAGGGTGCCTTGGAGGGCCGAAATTCGACGTACGATGCCTACATGAATCGTGTTTTCGGGGCAGTTGGATGAAGCATGACTTTGTTCTTCTAATGACATGTTATCACCAGAAAACGTTGTTATCCTGCTACGTTGTGCCCTGTAGTATCCTCTTCTTCGTACTTTTTGTGCAGGACTGCACCAAAACAACACGCCTGACACCTTTGGAGGCCTCCCAGTTGAATTGCTCCTAGTGATGCCAACTTCCCAAGCTCAAGATGTCCTACATTCAGCCCCCAAATCGAATGCTTTCTTATGGTTCTAGACAACAGTCGCTCAAATGAGCTAGAACCCACCCCCCTTAGTAACCCCCATAATACTTCCGTACATAAACCCGTACATAACGCATCTTTGAGGAGTTTACACCCTAAACCTTGAACCTCAAATCCTATACCGTAAACCCTATATAACCCCTTCAAGGAGTTTAGACCCTAAACCCTAAATCCTAAACTCTATATAACCCCCCTTTAAGGAGTTTAGACCGAAATTCAGAATTCGGCCTTCCTCCCTGGAAGGGAACATGGCAAAAACCCATCCTCGTGTGCCCAGAAATCTCCACTGTAGGGTTGGGTTTAGGGTTTAGGGTTTAGGGTGATAGGGTTATCTGGGGTTATGTGAAGGGTTTAGGGTTTAGGGTGTAAGGGTCAGATGGGGTAATCTGGGGTTATGTGATGTTTCTATGAGTTTATCTGGTGTAGGGTTATTTGGGGTTATGTAGGATAATATGTGTTTATTTGGGGGTCATGTGTAGCAGACCTGCTAAACGAAATTATTGGTGTTGTCAACTAGTAGACTATTCGTATTATTCATTAGTGCATCATCTGAATTATGATGGTTATAACTGTTATGGCTATGACCCTTTTTTTTTATTATGATGCTTATACGATTTGACTATCGCTCTCACTGTTCTTACGATTGTAAGGCACAAGTTCCAAACCACCAACTTGAAACCTGAAGACAAACCCAACCCAGCTTGCAAATACATACAACTGCAAGAACCGTTAAGCTTCACGATGGTAACTATGTAGGTCTTAGGGTTTAGGGTTTAGGTTGGGGCTAAGGCTAAACCCTAAACCCTAAACCCTAAACCCTAAATTTCCAGATTCGAAGTCCACCCAAGAGACGTGCGCCAGCCCATAGTTGTCCACTTGGACTATAGCTGCTGGAGGCGGCTGGCCTTCCTTCCCTGGGTCAAGGTTTAGGGTTTAGGGTTTAGGGTTTAGGGACTGAAGTTTACCCAAGAATAGAAGATTTAGGACTGTGAGTTTGGAGTTTCAGGTTTAGGTGTAGGGCTGGGGTCAAGGACTGCAATGATTCATTAGGTGGGCTCCAGGGTAATTACAAATTGTGTAAAAGGGTTCATGTTGTGATGCAGTGACTAGAGATCCAGGAGCTGCTTGGAGGGACCCTGGAGTCAGCGAAGGGTGAGGGAGCCCCTGAAAAAGATTCTGCAGAGCATCTTCCAAGGAATTCTGCTTTTCATCTCAAAACCTGCTCCTCAATCTGGTAAATCCTGATGTTGGATCCTGAATGAAAGGATTGTAGCCTTGCCGGCGCGTACTTAGGACGATACAGAGCATCTGGGGGCTTGTCAGACTAGGAAAATGTGTTGGTTATGATGGGGGCCCCTGCAAGGATTCAACCAGGAGCAATTCTGGGAAAATCTACCATCTTGCATCAGAATTCCAGGTGGAGATGGAGGATTCCTCCGACGTCGTTCGTACTTACCGAAATTCGCAAATTCCACAGCCTGAGTCCAAAGAGAAAACCCTCAATCGAAAAGCTCAACCCCTGAGCACATCCAAGCACATTCGCTGAAAGTTGCTCCAACGCCCTTGCAAAACCCTAGGCATTCACATAATTTCGTATGAAATGCAATCTTGTTTAACACACCGAAATCAGTTCCTTTTCACCGTGGAGCAGGCATCAATGACCCTCTGCCTAAACCCCAAAGTGGGGTTAGATACCATAAACACTAAGACAATGGCCCAGACTGGCTCTTCCGAGTTGACCCAATGGCCAAATGAATGTGGCAGCCTCTTCTCCTCCCAGAAGCTAGGACCCAGCGATAGATGTCAACAATCCTGAAGCTTAATCAGCCCTTGACTGCTCAACCTCCTACCGTATGTC